AGGTGCTCACACTTGCTAATGATGAGTTAATTAAGTGCATTTGATTAGTAGCACCTGGCTGCTACTTATCCTCTTAATTCCGATGGCAGTGGTAAGCCTTTCCTTAGTTTTTAGAGCATTGCACAGAACTCTGTGAAAATGCTCTTTTTCACATGACTGCAGTCTCATATTATCCTAATTTCTGCCGCTATCTTTATGTAGATAGAAGGAAGATGGCATCCACAGCTGGACCTACGCACGGGACCTGGTTGAAATGCAAGTTGAAGTAGTAGATAGTCATTCAGAGGCCTGAAACCAGCCTAATAACCTCTCAACGTTTAAGTTGACGGAGTCAATGGTCAGCTTTTAGTGCACAATAACAGCAGTGCTCAATGTTAGTCAGTGAGTGCTAATTGCTCCCCCGGTTTTATTGGTAACAACAATCAGTGGACTGTTATTTAGATCGAGTGAAAGCCGTTTTAATATCCTCCACAGTGTTACACCTCCCCCACTGACCTGGAGAGCTGTAGGCGTGCAAGATGGGCCCATTGCCTCATGTTGTTTATGCCTCGCTGCAAGTCTAGCATCATTGTGGCATAGCTGGCACGAGGATTTATCAGACCAGACAACCTCTTTCCACTCATCGACAGTCTACTGCTTTTGTTTCTTATCTCACTGTAAATGCCTTGAGGCGGTTCACCGTGGACAGGAGAGCTACCCTGCATGCCCATCTGTTGTTATACCCCCTTTTCACACTAGACTGCACTGGATTGTGTGCTTGGAAATTGATTACTATATCCTACAATTGTACTGTGATGTTAGATGTCAAACACTGGACCTTTGATAACTTGTTATGGCCCGAGGCAGGAAGTGTTCCCCACATTCATCTTCCAATGCCGTCCTCCCTAAATAGCAAGGGTTTTGAAGAGGTGCATATTGTGTGGGGTGGTGATTGTCAAAGCTCACGGCACCCACAAACAAGTCTGTAAGAATCAGTTCACATGCACAGCAACTTTCGAGAAGAGACTGTGCAGTTGCTTATGTAAAGGTAAGGAACGTTCGGCTTTTTCTGGAGGCAAAGGATGTCTCATCTTCTCATCTCCAACTGTACGCTGTGCCTCAGACTGTTGAAATGTTGTTAGAGAGACAATCCACATGGTGTGGCGGCCTCGCGGTGACCTGTGGGTCTTACCTGAGGCAGCGCCTTAACTTAGTGTTCCTTGTTTGTCTTCACTCTGATGCATTGCCGTGTTAATGTCAGGGTTGTGCGTCATCAGACAGATGCCTCGTGTTACTTAAGAGCAACTTTGACGTGGACAGGAGTCATGCAGTGAGAGAGGTCGCTTTACTCTCAGAGAAAACAAAAACAGAATTCCATGCATTTATCACCTGCAAGGTGATTGCCATCTCTCTCTGTTATCACCAGCTATCTAGTTTTTTTCTTGTAATTAGGTGCCAGTGCTTTTACATGTAGGTAGTTCAGACAAGAATTTAAAGTTGCAATGAAAAAGATTAAGAAAGAAAAAAAAGAAAGAAAAACATTTTGCCTGTTCAATTTTGTGCTTTTGTAACTGAAGCCAGTTTAATTTTATGGAAGACTGGAGCTTTATATCACAAAATAATATAAAAGAGAGGGGACTTTAATTGATAACCATACTGGTTTTGTTGTCTGTCAGCCAAAGCTTGTCAAATAAATATCTTTCTTCTATCAAAGCAGACATGTTGCATTAAACTACTTTTCATATAAGGTCAAATCAGTGTATCATATATATATAATGCCCATGTCTTTACTTGTATTAGTATTTCAGATACTGTTAATGCTTTAATCTTGTGCAAAAGTCTGTTATTATACAAAAAAATCAGTGACAACGAGTTTTGAAATTTTGAGTTCAGCTCTTCATCAGTGTGTACAAAGGCTCTCAGGAGACAGGTACAACGACGAGCCTCTACAGCCATCTGTAAAACACGGTTGAAGCTCTGTCATGATTTGGTAATACATTTCAGCCAGTGGTGTTCAAGATCCTGTCAAAACTGATGGAATTATAAACACAGAAAAGTATCATCAGATTTTGATACCATAAAATTTGCAATACCATCTGGAAAGCATCTGATTGCCAACAGCTTTATTTTTCAGCATGACAATGATCCCAAACACACTGCCAATCCAGTTAAAAGCAAGAATGGCTTGGCCTCCCCAGAGCCTGAACTTCAATATTATTGAATCAACGTAGGATCATCTTGACAGAAAACAGAAAAAACGCAACCAACATCCAAGTTTTAAATGTCCTTCAAAAAGCCTGGAGAACTATTCTTGAAGACTACAATTTTTAATTAAATTCAATTTGATTTATTTACCTCAAGCCCCTTTATATTTTTTAAGACCCTACAATAATACAAAGAAATCAAAGAAAACCGTAACGATCATGTGACACTCTGTGGGAAGGAAAAACTCCTTTTTAACCCAAAGAAATTCCCAGCATAGCCAGGCTAAGTGAGAGGCGTTTATCTGCTGCAACCAATTGGGGTGAGGGGACGAAGACGGGACAAAGACATGCTGTGGAAGAGGGCCAAAGATTAATAATAAGTAATAGTTAAATGTGCAGAGGTGTACAAACACACAGTGAAGAAAAAACACTCAGTGCATCATGGGAATTCCCCAGCACCCTAGACCTATTGTAGCGTAACTAAAGGAAGATTCAGGGTCTCCTGCTCCAGCCATAACTATATGCTTTATCAAAAAGGAAAATCTAAGTCTAATCTTAAAAGTAGAGATAGTGTCTGTCTCCCAAATCCAAATTGGAAGCTGGTTCCACTGAAGGCTCTGCCTCCCATTCTACTTTTAAATACTCTAAGACCAACAAGTAAGCCCCCAGTCTGAGAGCGAAGAGCTCTAATAGGGTGATATGGTACTATAAGGTCATTAAGATAAGATGGGGCCTGATTATTTAAGACCTTATATGTGAGGAGGAGGATTTTAGATTTGATTCTGGATTTAACAGGGAGCCAACTAAGAGAAGCCAATAAAGGAGAAATATGCTCTCTTTTTCCAGTTCCTGTCAGCAGCATTTTGGATCAACTGAACGCTTTTCAGGGAGTTTTTAGGACATACTGATAATAACGAATTACAGTAATCCAGCCTAGAAGCAATAAATGCATGAACTAGTTTTTCAGCGTCACTCTGAGATGGGATGTTTCTAATTTTAGAGATATTGCGCAAATGGAAGAAGGCACTCCTACATATTTGTTTAATATGTAGGAGAAACGCCAAGCTCCTCACAATGCTACTGGAGGCCAAGGCAATGCCATCCATAGTAAGCTTACTTTCTTACGAGATTGCATACTTCATTTGTACACGAGTTGTTGTATGTTTGCAAGTTTCAGTAAATTGCTGCACAGATTTCTTATTGTCCTATCAAAATATAAAGAAATGAAGGATGTACCTCAGAACTGTACCTGCCACACTAGTTACTGTGTTTTGTGAACACTGAGGATGACAGCCTAACACTGAACAATTCTTCCAAACATGAAAGGTGTGATTTGTCTCTGCAGTGCTGTAGCATTAGTATTATCAGTAGTATCCTCTTTCTATTCAATTCAATTCAATTCAATTTTATGTATATAGCGCCAAATCACAACATAAGTCGCCTCAAGGCGCTTCATAGATACAGAGAAAAAAACCCAACAATCATATGACCCCCTATGAGCAAGCACTTTGGCAACAGTGGGAAGGAAAAACTCCCTTTTAACAGGAAGAAACCTCCGGCAGAACCAGGCTCAGGGAGGGGCGGCCATCTGCTGCGACCGGTTGGGGTGAGAGAAGGAAGACAGGATAAAAGACATGCTGTGGAAGAGAGACAGAGGTTAATAACAGATATGATTTAATGCAGAGAGGTCTGTTAATACATAGTGAGTGAGAAAGGTGACTGGAAAGGAAAAACTCAATGCATCATGGGAATCCCCCGGCAGCCTATGTCTATTGCAGCATAACTAAGGGAGGATTCAGGGTCACCTGGTCCAGCCCTAACTATATGCTTTAGCAAAAAGGAAAGTTTTAAGCCTAATCTTAAAAGTAGAGATAGTGTCTGTCTCCCGAATCCAAACTGGAAGCTGGTTCCATAGAAGAGGGGCCTGAAAACTGAAGGCTCTCCCTCCCATTCTTCTTTCTACTAGCTAAAAATTGTTTGCCGGTCCCTCCCTTTCCACTATGGGGCTAATTTTTGAAAATGTTGACTACACCATCCAGGAGCTTGTAGAGCACTTCATGCTTATGTGCCCAAAGCAAGCATATATGAGCATGATATGAGACACAGCCTACATTTCCAAAATGTGCTGATGTCATTAAGTAATTGCAGATTTCTTCTATAATTGGGTTTATTTTATATAGAGAAGCTGGTTTCGAGCCCAGGCATCCTACAGCTGTAGGACAGATGGACGTGAAAGCTTTGTTTGCTTTCTTTTGGTTTATTTTGATTTGTAATAACCCTCTAGATATAATGGGAAGCATTATGTCGAGGCAGAACATAATCACTCAGTGTAATCCACTTTTTACCAAATAATACAAAATGTGTTCTCCCGGCTCTTTCTCCGTCTCTCCCCTCCAGCTAATGTTCTGTTGTATCTAATCAATGGCAAGGCCATAGTAATTTGGTGTGATTGAAATCCCTCCAGGATAAAAACATCATTAGTGTGAGGAAAGGAAGACACACACACACACACACACAAAAAGAAATAGATCAGAAACAAAAATGTTTTTAATTTTCCATCCCAGGGGGGAAATGGCCATATGTAGCTGATGATAATTGGTGGTTTGTTGGTAATTGCATTATGTCTCTTTCTCTGCATATGTTAAGGCACAATTTGAATGCATCACACACTGCCTTTAGATTGATTAATTAATAATGTAGTAATGGTTTATTCCCTTCTGTCTTCTGTCTGACACATTTTCCCTCTCGCGGTTTTACATTCCTGCTCTCTCTTTTCTCACTTTCTTGTTTTCTCTTTTTGTGGTTTTTGCTCTCCAGATGAATTTAACCCTGAAGTCCCGAAGCTGGAGAAGAGCGTCAGTGGCAGCAGCCCCTCACGTGACCGCCTTCTTCTCACCGTGGCAATGCTGCTCGTGTCTGCCGTCCTTTTGTCCTAGCAACAGTCGCCGAGTGGCACTTCATGCATAGCTGGACCCGCCTTTTGCAAAGGGCTTTGTATCCACCAAGTTTGTGATTACGTGAAATCTGACAGAAACACACAGAGTCAAGGTGCAACTGAAGCGCAATCAAAAGGACACAGACAAAAAAAACACGACAAAAAACAACAAAAAAAACAAACAACAAAAACAAACTTTAACTTAGCTTAATGGACTTTAAAAAAAGAGGCCTTTTTTGCTGTCATATTTACACCGGTGTATTTTGACACTCCATGTGCTCCATAGTGTAGGGGTTTACACATTCACCTAACAAGCGAAAGATTCCCAGTTGCATCCCAGGAGGAGACACAAATCCCTTCGGGGTTGTGTCAGGAAGAGCATCCGGCGTAAAAATCTGCCAAATCAATTATGCGGAGCTACCGGCTGTGGCCTTATCCCTTGTGAAAAAGGGAGCGGCCGAAAGTAGCTTCTTACATGTTGCTGGATATCATTATCACACCACTACCACCTTTATTGCGGGTGTTGAGACCAAAACAACACTCAGAGTCCGACTTCTGCGCTGCTCCGAAGCCTGATGAGAGTAAGAAAACTGACTTGTAATAACTTGGGTGCAGACTACACGCTCTTATTGTAGCATGGATATCAAATCACCGGAGGAATTTAAGCTGCTTTCTCTTCAACTTTGAGCTTTGAAGAAGATTGGAAACCTGGACTCCGCAGCGGCTTTTTAGTCCTTGGACCACAGGCCCAGTCTGATGATGCATTAAACCCAACTTTGATGTAGTAATGAGCAAGATGGACTCTGGATCTGTACTGATCTTACCCAGACTATCAGGACATAATCAGTCGTGATGAGAACTCCTGCTGTTGCGCTGGACATTGAAGAATGTTTTAACACTGATGTGAGGAAGCTGGTGGTAATAACAGTCCAAGAAAGGGGAAAGACTTTGTGATATATCCACGAGCCTTTCAAAAATCCATTTTCACCAGACATCAAAAAAATACCCCTAGCTTTGTGATAGGTACAGATGCAAAGCCTGCATTTCTTAGAAGGTAGCAAGTGCCCTCCTAGAACTAGTCTTTTGTCTGCATTTCCTGCCTTCACACTGTAACAACCCTAGAAAAGTACAGACCCTGGACTAGTAATTTGATGGCACTTAGACGTGGTAGATGTGGTAGATGTGTGTTTTGTTCTGACGCATTTACCTTCAGCACTTGGCGTAGATTTTCCGGATGTCAAACCTTTCGCTGCAATCAGCACAGTCATTCAGAACGTCACTAATTTACAGTTCTTAAAAAAAAAAGAAAGAAAAAAAAAAAGAAACTCTCACAGCAGCAAGTCCCCTTTTAATCCCAGACAACCCTGTCTGTTCCTTTTTCCACAGCCAATCAGTGCTGATGACCATTAACAGCAGTCACAGTCACCCTGGAAACAACCCCATACAGTCGCCAAAGTGCGGCAGGTGCCTGAGGAGAAACTGTGCTTTGAGTCTCAAAGTAACGCTGCCGCCATTTTGTTAAAAAAAAATATATAAAGACGTTTAAAAAAAAACAAACACTTGTGAATGTGCAAATAAAGAGAAGTTCACTTTTATATATTGTAATACAGGACAGCGTAGGCTTAATCAGATTACAATGTGTGCTTTTTTTTATTTATTTAATTTTTCAAATGTATTTATTTTGTCATTAAACTATTTATTTACCTAATTTATTAGCGTGCATTTGTAGGCCTTTGCTTAATAAGCTATCGTGCCATTTTTTTTAAAATTCTTATTCTTTTTTTCTATTATTACAGTGAATTTTTTACTGCAGCATTTTTGCTTGTGTAGATAAATCGATGTAACTCAGCCTGACACAAAGAGAAGGTTATTGTTCATGACTAATCAGTAGGGACGTACGCGCAGTAACCCCACTCTCGTGTAACGGATACTGCTTACCAGATTTTGTTGCTGAAGAGCATGTCATAAACCAACTGTGAATGCAGTGGCAGGCCATGCCGATTGAGGGGCAGCATCTCAAAGTGTTGCGCTTGCGAAATGAGGGATGCGTGCGTCGTAATGTATATTTATAATACATGCCGGTTGTGGAATGTGCGTGCGTACAAGTGCGTGTGAGTTTGTGTGCGTGCGTGCGCGTGAGAGCGAGCAGGGGGGAGAAAAAAAAAAACAACGAAACAAGCATATGTGTGCACATTTGTGCGTATGTATGTAGAATGTGTTTGTCCGCGCTTTTCAAGTATGTGGCATTTAGGAATTTCGTACTCATAAAGGAGTCATTTGTAGGATCTGAATATGCAAGTGCGTACGAGAGAATGTGCTCTTCTGTAATGTTAGTTTATGTTACGGGGTTTGGGACGTGGGCGAAAAGCATTTACCGATGTTGAAGACAAGCACACGAAATGTGTTTGCCTTTGACGAGAATGATTAAACAACTGTAAATTGAACCAAGAATGATTAAAACAATGCCAATTAAAACCTTTTTTGCAAATTTAGCTTTGTGTATTTATTCAGGCCTTGTGTTGTTCTGCTCTCCTTCGACTGCCCTTTCTTTATCTAAACTGTTACTCCTTCACAAACCCTGCACTCAGATGTGTTTGTTTTTCTGAAGCACTACTTGAAAGCAAATCTCTTCTGGTTTTTTCTTCTCCTTTTTTAGATATGTTGGTTGTGAGCAGACGGCAGTCAGGCTGCAAACTAAAACTATCCTTTTCACGTGGCCCGTCTATGCAGCACCTCCGGTTTCGCAAACACCTCTTCTGCCATAAAACATAGTGACAGCGTGGAGGGAAAGTCACAGATCCAAATCTCCCACTCTATCCATCTCTCTTTCTCTTCTTACTCAAAAAAAAAAAAACACCTGCAAGCTATTCATGTCTCCACAAATCTGTCTCTCCACATCACACTTCTTTCCCTTTGCCCCTGTCAGCTTCTTTTTAATCTTCAAACCCAGGACAGAAAGACGCCGACGATCACTAGGGACGAGCCTCAGATGCTCTAATGTCCGTATCAAAGAGCGAACAGAGGGGTCAGATAAGATTTTGTCTTTGATGTTCTACGTCATGCCTACAATCACATTAGAGAGGAAGAGAAAGGCGTTGTGAAGATTCAGCTGTCTGCTTGTGTTCATTTTAAAAAAAAAGAAAAAAGTGCTGGACGTCCAATTTTTTTTACATGTAGGTTGTAGGATTTTTGCCAAGTTAATTTGACGTACATTACGTGTCTGACATAAAGTGGTTCACAGTAAACCAAGCAGGTTACAGTGATGTGATGATGTCTGTTAATGTCTTATTCACAGCTGTTCGACTCAGCTGGGAGGCAGCGGCTCCTGATTCTCTCTGACATTTGTGCATTGAGCTGACAGGCTGATAATTGCTGAATATTACAGTAGGTCTTAACTTACAGTCCCTTGCCTTTTTATAGGTCTGTACTTGCATAAACGATTCAGTGTTTTGACACCATGAAACACTGGAATGGCTTTAGCGTTTGCTCCGGGGCCCAAGCTGACAACTTTAAACATCGTTTTTCAGGAAATTGGACTGCTATGATTTCGGCAGTGAGAATGAGTCTGGTTAGTTAAGTACGGGAATTACACTGTCATGTCTGCACCTTAAATTCCAGTTTGGAAAAGCATTATTTGTTCTGCTTACTATTTAAATGAGTGGATCAGGAGTGTTACCAGTGGATTTAAAACGCCCACCTATCCCCGAGCGGCTGACAAAGAGCTTCACATCGCCACCGTGAAACAGATACCCAACAAGTGCTCTGTCCAGGCTCTAACCAAGGAAGACATTCCATTAGCTAAAGGAGATGACCTTATGCCTGTTTCGAGGCATATTGTCGTTTTCTGAATCATTTACTGTGAGATAAGCCATCTGTAGCACGGGCAGGTCTGTGCTGTCGAGAAGAAATTCCCCTGACAAGCGGCACCGTCTGGCCCAAACAATGAAACAGATGCCTCCTCCTCAGAGAACATGATATAACTCAGGACATCAGTGACACAGTCAGGGTGAGTAATGCGCCATTCGAGCGCTCTTTGGAAACTCCCCTTTCGAGGTTGGGAGTCATAAAAATGAGTTGGGGCTCGTTTCAATCTAAATCTACTGTTTTATTCTTACAGTCATGCAGCAGAAGCATAAAGTATATCACACTTTTCTTTTGAAACATTTGACATATTCTGATTCACTGACATAAAGAAAAATTCACATAAAAACCTGGTTAAGCAAACGTCTATAAACTTTTAGCAATAGTTAGTCTGATTACAATTTCACATATACCTTCATTGGTAGCTTGTGACACTTTTTTGCACCAGTTATATAAATTAAATGTCCGGTACGGTGAGTTGTTGGAGGGTTGCATTTGGCTTGCACAATCCTGCGAGTTGAATGAGGCTGGAAGGATGTCTGCCATGAACTGTCTGGGCAACGATTCTTTTCCATCAGCCATTCCTCCAGGAATGATCTGTGTCATTATTTTCTTTGTTACATTATCCTTTTTTTCACCCCTTCCTCAACTCCAAGCCTGGTAGCATTACCTTTTGTTTAAGAATTTCTTGATGGGCCTTAAAAATCATGGTGTGACCAGGTCCAACAAAAGAAAATCAGCCCCAGATCTTCACATTTACAGCATCATGCTTCACTGCTGGAAGAAGGGCTCTTTTGGCAGTGCGCAGTGATAACTTTTCATCACACACAGCAGTCTGAACATGACAGAAAAGCTCTATTTTGTATAGGCTCACGCCTGAATTATTATCTCCCAGGTGTTTTGAAAAGGCTCCCATTTCCAGGCAGAGTCGTAGTCGGTGTGATTGCTCTCCATTTTGTTACATTTTTACCATCGCAGACGATGGGTAAAGCTTTGTAGAGGGCTTCTTAGCTTTCGCAAACAGATGTGCTCTCACTCCCCTCTTCATGATGTCCTCTAAGACCTCCTTTTCCTCTCAGCATGTGGGACTTAGGGGGGCATGCTTTGATAAATATAATATATAAATATGTCCACATGAAAATAGGATGAAAAGACTCAAGGTAAAATAGCTTCAATAGCTCCAGAATGACCACTTATTACAGCTATACATCAGAGACAAGACAAACACAAACAAATTGTTAGATTTTTCTTTATCAAAAACATTCTTTTTGTGGTATTTATCTTCCTTGAAATGCTTTTAGCCCAGTGTCCATGCAGAGCT